TAACATCATAGAGAATAAATTACAATTTCGTATACAAATTAATTCAAAGAACTAAGATTATAAAAAAAAGGAAAGAAGAAAAAAAAAATCACATCAAAGGTGCTGCTTCGTTCCCTCCTGTTCATAAAAGAGGACATATGCCTCATTGCTCACAAGTGATTTTGGCGAAATTGGGAACACGTGTGAATCGTTGTATTCATGCCACGTGCCACTATATGGGTGTCTGCAATATGCTGTGTAAAATACAATTTTATCAGTCTTTATCAAATTCATTCTTCAAGCAAAAGTTAAAGTACATTATTGTTCATAAGAAATAAATTAAGACGGATTCAAAAATATTATGAGCCATGTAAATTGTGTGAATTTGAATCTACCAAGAGAGTAAATTTTACATTTACTGACTCTTGAGACAGGCCAAATACAAGCGGGCATAATGCATAGATAAATGTGTACTTAGTTATATAATATAAAAGTATAAGGTACTCACTGATGACTAGATAGTGTGTTGTACTGTGAGTTTGCTGTCTTTGCATGAAGCTGCTCACTTTCATTTTCTGAGTTAACTGTCAGACATTTTTTATTTTCAATTATTGAAAAAAATATTCATAATGTAAAACACAGGTTATGTATACTGTAGTGAACACAACTGTATACACTATAGGTATCCGATCTCAGTGTGGCGAGAGAGATAGCGTAACGCCAAACCAGTGGGAAGGGAATCACACAGTTGCTAGCGCATGACGTTGCCACGGAATGCGTCGTTACGTAATCAATTGGTTTCACATGCGGTTACAGATGTTTTAAAGGATCGTTCTGGTTGCGCGAAAGCAAAGAAGAGTAGACCTCGAAACGTATCACTATCTATCGATGGTTCAAATCGTGGGCACCCACTTTTCAAGCTTTTCGACCTTTCCAATAAGTTTCAAACCATCAAAAAACCCATGGGAGCTGACGCCCAGTTCTTACGCCATCCCACTCACCATTTGTGATGGGTCAGTCTTCACCAGGGCCCTCGAATCCTTGTTCTGCATTACTGTAGGTCGACCATTTTGGGGCTAATCTTTGACGCTAAAATCTCCGGGACGAAATTTCGCAAACCAACGTGGAATAGTTCGTTCATCAACACTATTATTGCCAAATCTTGGATAATTAATAGTAACTGCCAAAATGTTTATAAAACTGTTTTGTAGTGTTTGTAAAAGGCCTTACAAAATATTGATAATAACCATAATGTTTTATAAGACGGTGCCAATTTCCTATTTATAACAGTTTTATAAACATATTGAAAACATTTCTGGCAGAAATGCAGTTTTATAATTTGTTTCTCCAAAACGTTTCCGCAATTATTATAAAATACGAAATTGCTAGTTGTACCTTGTACCTTGTACCGCTTGTACCTGAAGAAATATTCAAATCAAATAAGGATGAAGAAATTTTTCAATTTATTATTGAAGGGACCTAAAATGGGACTCAGATTAGTGCAACATTTAAAATTTTCAAAGAGTGCAGGATTTCGATTTCATTGCCAGCTTAATGGTGGAGCTAGCAGAACTCACTGATTGAAAAAACAATTTGGAAAAATCAGTGATAAAGGAAAACAAAAGCCTGAAAAGAGGCTAAAATAATGACATAGTCTGTTCTGTCACCTCAAGGTTGAGTCAATGATATTTCCGGTAAATTAAGAGCAACATTCGGGAATAGAGTAACAAGTAGGTTAAACAGAGCGAAAAAACTCATGAAAGACAATGATTTCTAAATGAATCGCTATCAATTTACAAATTTTTTTTTATGAAACTATTTAGGCGCGTCTATCAGGCGTCGCACAGAAACCGTAATTGAATGAACTAATTCACGTATTGATTTCTCAATTTCATAACTCCCGACTGAATGCGAATCAGTGATCAAGTGCTATTATATACTTTACTACTCAATTACCATTCGAATGTTCATTCGAAAACATCAGAAAATGACATCGAAATAAACACCGCCTTCATTTTAGACGTGAGCAAAATAACCATACCAATTTCACTCGATTTCGTTTTCAGCGTTTATTTAAATCTCGTCACGAACGTGTTAGTCTAACCCAGAAATTGTTCGGAAATTGTATGTAGCATATGTCGGAGACGAACAAATACTTTTTACAAATAAAATTTCACTCAGCCTAATGTTATCTTCGTGTCCTGTTCCTCTAATTGTTATTGAAAGTTTTATCTGATCGGAATCGGCAATTATCATGAGGAAACAACATTCCGGATGAAGTCATCCACATTCTTTTCACGATGGACAAGTTATCCTAGAGTTTATAAAACAGTGAAACTACCACATACGGGTGTAACACAATTATCGGATGACGGTTAGTTTTCTCTTCCTAGTTTCGAACATTATTGTTATCACTATATCCTCGTTGGTGAGACTCAGAGGAGGTAATGTGTATTGCACCGTAAGTTAATGAAAAAATAATTAATGTTCAAGAGATCACGCTACAATGCCCGAAGACAGAGGATGTGTATTGAATCTTTCTAAATGATCAACAATCACGCAAGACTCTAGCCTACAGTCTACAGCCTGTCAGATCTGTGTCATACATGTTTTACCCTCATAATCGTTAAATAAATATAGTTTTATGTCCAAAATTTATTTCCCAGTATTCCGGAAATTGAAACAATTAAACTGGTTGAGCATGTAAATCCACTAATAAAACAGAAAATTTCAGATTTACTCACATTTATCTATCTCAAAATTATTTCCAACTCGACGAAANTAAGGCTCTTCAGTACCAAATTGGATAACACTATAGAAAATACACACAATTCATTCATGAATTACGATTTTTAATGTCACGGAATAAGCTTCATCTGTTTATGTCATCGATGACATCGTAATGACATTCATTCACCTATTTGATTTAATCTCAGCCAAGAGGAATCTTATTTGAATCGAAGGGGTTACTTCCTTCTTTTTTTTGGAAGATTCCCACATCTCTTTTTTTGTATCAAGATGGAGTAGTAGAAAGCCAAAAACTTTCTTGAGAATTTGGTACTTCCTATTGTAAAAAATATATATAAAGCATTGAATGTGTATATTTATT